GAGGCGAGGCCATTTTCATTCTCCTTCCCCTTAAACACGGACTATTTGGGATAGTTACAGTTCTTGGCTGTAATTTAATTCTGCAATGTAGACTGACTAGATCGGTATTTTCAACCGTTCTCTTGAATCAGAGCTGGGTTTGGGAGATGCAAACCTTGGGGGTTTTCTGACTTACACAGCCAAACCCCCAACTATTCCACAATCTTTTATCCACGCTTCCCTTTCTTTCCTTCCCCTCCGCTCTGTATCTCATTCTGTAGAGACTGATTTAAAAAGAAGAGGGAAATGAATTCATTCACTGGGATTGTACAATTGCTCATCTTTGTGCTCGTTTCCAAAGGACACGATGCTCAAGCACAAATCCCGCTTTAAAAGGCTACTTTGCATGTATATATCTACAGCCCTGAAATTACAAACAAGCCCCGATTGTCACCAACTTTGCTCCATCCCAGCAGCATTCAGTATTTCTGTGGATCTTGGACACTGCTTTTCACTGGTGAGGAGCCGCTGCAGCGGGTCTCACTGCTCTGCGCTTGGATGTCAGCAGCACCAATCCTGCTCACGCTCGGGTGCTTCCAACAGAGGGGTGCAGCACGTCAGAGCGGTGCAGGGGGTGGCAGAGCTCAGGTACTGGTGCTGCACTGGCAGCAATGTGCTGCCTGGGGGACAAAGTCCGGCTGCTTCCCAGGAATGCGTGGGGAAAAAAGGAATCAAGGACAGGAGGGAAACAATGAGAAAAGGGGGAAAAGGGAACCACCCCCATCCTTCCCCACGATGGACACATGCAGAGGAGCAAAGACCTGTGGGGATCATGGAGGGTGTCCTCGGTGCAAGACTGAGCAAAGCAGGTTCGCGCTGAGAAACCACTGCCCACAGGGGAATGGATATTCACACTTGCTTGTACATTGCTTGGGGGAAGTGAAAAAGCCAATTTAACCTCATCAAGTCAGAGCTCCCAGAACGCGCTTTTCACTCCAGCACTAGAGCTTCACACAGGTGTCTTTTTCAGGGCTCCACATGCACAGGTTCAAACTACAAGACACAACGTGGCCGAGATGATGTGCTTGCTTCTTGCCTGGGGATGGAGCAGACTCTGTCTCAGGAGGCTTCCCGCTGCCTCAAGAGGCCTTGCACAAAGCCCAGCTAAGAGAACACCACAGTCACAGGCTCTGCAAACATTCAAACTCCAGTTAGGTGTGTCCTGTCCTCAGCCAGGGCTGCAGCGTGTGCATGGTTTGATCCTCGCGTGGAGGAGCGGTGAAGCAAACGGCCTCTGCACAGAGCATCAGCTCCAGCCACCCTTCCCATGGGCAGAGGGACACATCCACCTCATTACAGCCTGTTAACGGGCTGAATGCTTTTCCTCCTTCCCAATAACAGAGAGCTGGCAAGGCGCAGAGGGTGGCCTCAGAGGGTGTTAGTGCACTGGTTAAGAAGGCTGCATCCGACCTGTGCCTCTCAAATCCTTCCCCTTGCTCCAGTCTGGGCCTGGGAACCCCACCGTGGTCAGGGACCCGATACCCAGCCTGCTGCCAATGGGATCCCCTGCAGCAGGCACAAGCTCTGGGAAGTGCTACAGCGTGTGCATGAGTAACTTCTTTCACAACATCCAACTAACACAAGCTACTTGTTCTTCACCTGTAAGACCCTTCAGAGCCCAGCTTTGCCCTACCTGTCAATTGGGATGCATTGCTGGGCTACCAATCCCCCCTCCTGCCTTAGTTACACCAGACTGCCTTGCCGATCAGTCCGGTTGTTCCCCTTGAGCATCTCTGCACTGCCTTCCATCCTATGCACCCTACAGAAATGGAAGATCTTTCTGGGAACTCCTAAGCCCACCAGCTCACGTCCCTGCAAAGCCTGCAGGGCTCTGGCACCCAAAGTGTATGACAGCACATAGGCAGTGTGCAGCATCCACTGCTCTGTGTGCTGAGCAATAGCCTGGCTCTTACCCCCTCTTTCCCCACTCATCCACTTCATCCCTGTGCCTCCAACATGCCCACATCAAGGGATAGCCTCGGTTACAGACAGGCAGCACTGACAACAAAACCAGCAGCAACAAACCAGTGTCAGAACATGCAAGTGACTGGTGCAACGTGCATGGCAATGAAGAGGAGATACAAGAAATCCTCTGCTAGGAGAGAAAACTCTTAGGCACTTTGCTCCTGATAAAGCTGCATCAAACCATAAAACCCTTATGTAGAGCAGTATTTCTTCCATAAAGCTGACTCCTGTGCTTAAGGTTAAATGCAACTCGGTTAAAAAGACGTTTTTGTTCTCTGGTGTGGGGGTTTCTGTTGTTTCTTTCACCAGAAGATTCTAAGTTGCCCCCGCTGCAGGCTGGGACCTGAGCATGCAGCGGAACACCACAGGCCTGGCGAGAAACACGTACCAAGTAACAAGGGGAAAAAGGGAAAAGAGGAAAGAGACGGGTTTCGAGCACATCAGCAGCGAGCAGATGAAACCCCTGGATATAAGGGATTGCAGCACTACTGAACTCGCTCTGCAGGGAGCAGTGGCACGGGAAGCAGAAGTGGAGGCGAGAGGAGGGCTGTGACAGCGCTGCTGGAGAGCAGTGGCTCCTGATGCCATCTCCTGATGCCTCCTGGGTGTACACAGCCTCCCTAAAAGCACCTCTCCCTGCCTGTCTGAAGTCACCGAGTTCTTGCTACACCAGATAAAGGCAGATGCCATCTGCTTGATGTTCTATGTGGGGTTTGGAAGGAGCAGCCTCACCACACCACCAGCTCTGTGCTCCGGAGGCACCCCAGAAGCAACGTGGGTGCATGGGGTGAAGCTGTTTAAATGGCCAGCCCAGACTGCACAGAGCCGACTGTGAGCAAGCTTGATAAAACTCAGCCTTCAAACCCAAGCTGGGATGTTAATAAAGGAAAGTTCTTAATCCCACTGTTCGAGCGATGCTGCAGCAGAAGGGGAGCTGGTGTGGCCCAGGTGACACTGCTGTCCTCACGCCTTCTTCCCCTCAGAACCAGCAGGAGATCTGCAATACCACTATTCATTACAAATTAATTCAAGATACTCTGCCCTTTTCACCTCTGAATTAAACATGTGGGGCCAGAGCAGCTCTCACAAGTCTGTGCTGAACAAAACGGGTGCAGGTTTCTTCATTAGGCAACAATTCCAGGAAAACCCACTGTCACTGCACAATGCAGCACTATTATTTTGTTCTGCTGAGCAGTCAAAGTGATCCTTAACCAGAACACACTGTACCAGCACAGTGTTTTCTCCATGTGCTCTCCCTATGGCCTAGGCTGCAGCACTGATCACTTCATAGCCAAACACCTCAGCAGCTAAAGAAGTAAGGAGATTGTCTGCAAACACAGAGGTAAGAAAGCTCTTGGCCTTGTACTTGCAATGTTTATGTCTTGCTGCTGGTGCTACCTCTCACAGAGGAAGAAGCCCACACTTTCAACATCAAACCCAGCATTAAAGCCCTTCACTGCTCAGTCCCAGCACAGAGGAGTCACCTGCAGACACCAACACCAAATCATCTCAGTACAAGCAGTGCCTGCCTCTGTCTGCCTGGGAATGGGAAAGGTGATCCACAAGGCTGCTGGGTTTTGAAATGCAGGCTGGGAAAACACAAACACACCGTGTTCATGTGCAGCCCCTACAACTTGTGAATAAATCCAAACTCTTCAACCCAAGCCACAAAGCATGTAAGCAAGCTGTAGGATAGTAGATGCTGCTCTACCATGAGAGGAACAAGAGCACTTTGTATCCCACTCAAAAGACATAAGGAGCTATCATCCTTTATTTCCAATTAAAACAATCATCAATAATCCCCACATGCAAACGGAAGTAGCTAGAGAGCAAAAGAGCTTTCAGAGACTCAACCCAGCCACGTACCTGTACTTTCCTCCCTTACGCAAGTGAGAGCCTGCACCAAAAGGAACTTTGCTTTCTCCCAATGCTTTTATCACCAATAAAATAGTGGCTTGGGTATTTCGGCTGTCACCAGACTTCAAAGTCTGATGTTTGAATGGAATGTTATCAGACCAGCTGAGCCCACCGGCTGTGAGCTGTACAGTTACCTTGGCAATAGTTACTGCAGCCTGGCAGGCCTGGGCTATAGGTCCTGTACCAAAACGGGAGAGTAACAGCAGTTCCTGCCTGGAGGAACTTTATCTGAACAAGCTCCTCCACCACGGTAACACCAATTACTGCACTTGCTGATCACCTACAAGGAGCTATGTGGGATTAAAGTGGGCTGTCAGCTGCATTGCCGCTGCCAGCACACAAAGAGCCACCACGGATGCCTCTGCCCTGGGACCAGAGGTAACAGTGCCGGCTCTACAGCAGCTCCTGTACTCACCGATCTCCCCTGCAACAAAGCAGAACACTTGTGAACAGAGAGAAGATAAAGGCAGCTGCAAACCTGACAGAAGGAAGTGTTCTTTGGAGAGCAAAGGGATGAGAAAAGCCTCCAAACTAAAACCTGGCAGAGCACTGCAGCAGCCGGTGCCCAGAAGTAGCTCAAATACCAACAAGGATCTCCCCACTTCCTTTCAATGGAAAAAAAGGATAAATAACAATCCCTGTAATACTATAGCAATATAAGCTGCTGTCCTCTCAAGAGCAGACACCCGGGTGACCAGCAGACTTGAGAAATCCCAATGGAGCAAGCCATCCACTGAGAATATCTCTAGGATCACAGAATCAACCAGGCTGGAAAAGCCCTTCCAGCTCATCCAGTCCAACCCCTGCCCAGCACTGCCAAGGGCACCACTGCCCCATGGCACTGAGGCTTCACCTCCACGCTATGTGAACCCTTGCAGGGACGGTGCCTGCAGCCCTGCCCTGGGCAGCCTGTTCCAATGCCTGAGCACCCTCTGGGGCAGGAATTGTTCCTCAGCTCCATCTAAACCTGCCCTGGGGCACCTTGAGGCCGTTTCCTCTTGTCCCATCCCTTGTTCCTTGGGAGCAGAGCCCAGCCCCTCCTGGCTCCATCCTCCTGTCAGGCACTTGTAGGGAGCCATCAGGTCCCCCCTGAGCCTTCTCCAGACTAAACAAGAAGCTGCTGCCTCTTTTTAAAGATTGAAGAAGGATTTTCACCTGGAATTCCTAACTGCAAAAAGACCCTGAGGCCTTTCAGGAACTTAAGCAGTGTAAAGTATCAGCTCCTGGAGTACGCAATCCAAACTAACTTCAGCAGAAGGTACAACCTCCTGCTCCCAGTCCTTGCTCCAGATCCCAAGGGGGTACTGTCAGACCGCAGCAGCGATTCATCGCACACACAGGAACTTTGCCCCTGGCAGCAGTTGTGAATGGGCTGGTATCAAAGTGAAAAGTTGGGTCAACGTGTGAGCACCTTCATTAGCACACTCCAAGTGGAACCTTGGGAACCTTTTAACTTCAAGCTCAAAGCAGGACCTCACCGGGAAGGCCGGTGGGCGTGGGGAAAGCCTTGGCAGCATTATTGCCTCATTAAAGGTGACCTAAAAGGGAAAGCAGAATTGGATTTGTGCTCTTTCATGTTCCCTTATGATACAAAAAGAAGGGCTAATTTTCCTTTTACTTCTTAAGAGGGTTCTTCCTCCTTATTTCTACCTTAGAGATTTTCTACCTGGAAGGTGATATTCAAGATGTTGTGGAAGCGAAGCCTGATGAGTGGAGCAGTAACACCTTTTTTATTCAAATGCTTTACAGCTTTAACATCTGTTTGAATTAAAGACATAAACGAAGGGGAGAGAGAATCTGGTTTTGTTAAAGACTTAAACGTGCCCTTTCAATAAAGTCAGCAGTTTCCTACTCGTAAAAAGTCATCCAACAAAAGAAGTCATCCAACAAAAAGAATAATGGATTTTATCCTCTCTTTTTAATCTCACAGTATTTGCCTACCTCAGGAACGGCAGAAAAAGCCAAGCAATTTCTTCTACATGCCTTCCCATGATCAAAACCAAGGCATCCAGGAAGGAAATGAGAACGAGTCCCCATCTCCTCCTCTATCCTCATGTAACCTGGTACAGAATGAGGATGCTATTAACTGTCAGCTCCTCTCTGGGTGAGGGCATGCACAGGATATAATCCCATTACAGTCAGTTATCAGGACGTGGCCTTCCTCAAACCATTTACAGACTACTCAATTAAATTAACATCTTGGTTCTTTTTGCCTGTAACACAAGCAAAAGAACCCAAAATTACAGCAGCGTTCAGAAAGTGCCACTACAGAAGGCTGCTTGGAGGCACATCCAGCCAGCTCTCACATGAAGTCCATCAAAACCCCAAAGCCACAGGGTTTCCAGTGCTTCAAACCAACACTTGCTGCCCTCAGAGAATGCAGCAAGTACTGAAAGAACACCCCAAATTTCTATCCCTTAACTGAGAAAGGGTTGTGCAGCCAAATTATCGTGTATGGAATGGACATTAAATATTGGCTGATCTAAAATCACAAAGCCAAATCCTCACACGTCTTCTGAGCCCAAAAGACGATGCGCAGCGATGCTGCCTCTATTTCAGAACATATTCCAGAGTTCCAGGGCCACAGTCTACAGCAAGTAATGATGAGAAAAAGGAGGCAAGCGACAGGCTGGAAGGGTGAGGAGCCAGGAGAGGATGAGAAGATCACGGGCTGAAGATGAATCACAGCTGAAAGGAGCAACTTTGCTTTCAAGTGAGCTGGGAAAAGCTTTATTCCCAGAGCCAGTGGACTGCAGCTACAGGAACTGCTGCACCAACACAGGAGATAAAGCAGCTCAGAGAGAGCTGTTTTAAACTGGTTTTGGTGAAGACTGCCATAGAGAACTCTAACAGCCTGGTACAGAAACGGCAGCTATAACCAGTACTGCTCAGCTGTAGCATTCAGCGTGAGGAGAAGCAAACCAAAAGCACTGGCAGCTCCAGAGATCCAAACTCCTGAGTTCTCCTGAAAAAATCATAGTACCAGCGATCCATTAGGCAGAGGGAGTCACCATTCCCAACACTGCTCTTGCTGACACTCTCTGCAGTTTAAACCCCAAGCCTCTTAAACTACAAACAAAATGGAACCAATCCCAAGATTTGCAACATTTTAGATTCATTTTCAAATGAAAAGTGGGGGTTGTTTCATGAAGAGAGATTCAAGTGGCTTTAATTCCACTGAACATCAATGCAATCCATGTTTTAAAATACATGGCCATGTGTGACCGCAGGACGGGTTAAGAAGCAGGGAAATGGGAACATTTTACTGTCTGGAAAAACCTACAGTCTGATTGAGCTAACAGAGGGATATTACTGCTGCAGGATAATTCAGGAATACAAACAGCACATTTTTATATTTTAGGTGCAAATTAGGCTCAAAAGGCAGCAGAGGAAAACCTCTCCAAGGGGAATGAGCTGCTCTCTACAGACAGGCTGCTCTCAAGCCATGCAGGAGCAGAGAAGCAGCGATGAGTGCTGCATGAGCAGCTGCCCTCGCACCTCTCTGGTGAGCACACACCTGCATCCATCCCTGTTTCGCCAAACATCAACATTGATAAGGAAGCAGCCACCACTGGACAAAAATCAGGCAAGAGCAAATTGAGACTCAGCGCCAAGAGCCCTGCTCTGAAAACTGACGTGCTACTGACACCCCGGCCCCAAAAGCGGCGACACCAGGGTCCGCAGCAAGGCTCATACACTGCTGCGGGTGGATCTGAACCACACTTGGTAAAACCTTATTGCTAAAACCACAGTGTTATCAGGCAGCCTTTGCAGCAGCTTCCCGGCTAGCGGGGCTTTCCCTGCGCTTATTCTAATGATACACATTCAATTACTCCAGAAAAGAAAAGAATCAAATCAGAAACATCTGTAGTTTGCCATATAATTACTGGATCTTCCCCACGGAGACTGACCTTTATAACACTGATATCGGGACCTGAAAGGCTAAATGACAGGACATTCGTGTGGTTTAAATGCAGAACATGATTACAAGGAATTAAACAGGTGCTGGTGATTGTGCGTCTTGGTGTACATTAACATAAGCGGAGTTTATGATCATACGTTTAATCTTTGCGCTCAGTATGTAGTAGCTGAATTTACTCACTATTAGCAGCCCCAAAGCACTGAAATGCCAATGTCTGGATGATCTAGTAGAGTTGAATACGGGGTTTGAGGTTAATAGCAGCCGTTGCTTTTACCTGTAATAGGAATCTTTTCGACCGCGCTTTCTTCCTTGCTCTCATCTTCACACCAGCTTGGGACTTCTGGATGTGAACACACCATAATGAAAGGCATTTCAAAGTGGCAGTGATCAGACTGGTTTGGTTGCTTTTAAGCCCTACTCCCTTTAATTTCTCACTTTTGTTATCTCTTGTTTATTGATCTAAACTATCCATTACCGCCCTTAAAAGAGGCGCCTACTGTGAACTTTGCTGGCATGTGCGGCGGTGCTGCCTCTCTGTAGCTTCCAGGGAAAAGGACAAGCTACCCAAATGTCGCAAATAATTTAAGACCCGATGGGATTTAGGAAACAAACAACCCGCAGTAACGCCGCGGCCTCGTGCGGCAGCAGCACCGTTTATCACACCCGCCCTGGAAGAGGAGCTTAAATCAAAGCCTCTGTCTCCTCCGCGGATAAAAGTCGCGTGAATTTAGGAGGCCTGAAGCTGTTTACATTTGCTGTGCAAAGAGCACTGCAGCCTAATTGCCTGTCTCTTCTGGACTTTGATGTAAGGGATGCTCCGAGAGCAGCCCAAGCAAGCCGCCCTTGCTGCACCAGGCTAATATATTACTTCCTTATCTAAAGAAATTAACTGGGTTTTCACAAGCGTGTTCACCTCAGAGCCAGCATCACACTCAGCAGGAGCCCTTTGAGTTTTGAGAATTTGGCTGTGGCCTGGCTTTACAGTAAAAAGCAATGAATATACCCCAGCACTGGTAAACGAAGGTGGTTTTTAGATACATGCACACCTATAGATCTGTTCTATTAACAGCCACAAGGCTTGCAGACAAAATAGCCACGATGGGCATTGCTCGTTTTAAGTAACAAAAAATGATACATTTAGGAAAATCCCCTTACGAGTATACATTAACTCACCAATCACTACAATAGAGCTGACTTGGATAGAAACACCGGGGGAAGGACAACAGCTCTGCGCACACAGCCGGCCCTTTGCACACTTGTTACCTTGTCCTCCCATGCCGGTGAGCCCGGGAGCGTGTTCTGCCTCCTCTGTCTCCCTGGCACCGTTTGGGGTGGCTGACGAGGTGCTGCACGAGGGTTCATGACTGTGAGGAGATGACCTGTCCCCGCTGTCTCCTGGAAGGGCCTCTCTCGACCCGAGCAGAGCCTGCAGCATTAGAAATAAAAACAGCCACAGCACTATTATCCTTGGTCTGCAGCGGTTTCCGACATACATTTAAGCTAATCTGTACTTCACGCTGTAATCTGTTTCCAGGGTGGTTTTGTTAGAGGGTAAATTACCTCCGAGTTAAATCGGCGCTAGCTCAGGAACTGCAATTCTGCTTGAAGTAACACCGACTCTGAATTGTTCCTTTAATCACTAGGCTTTCTGCAGACTCCACTCCTGCCTCCCACAATCAGGGTAAGCAAATGGAAGGGCGCATCAAATATACTACAAGAAATGAGAGGAAATCTCTCCCTTTCAGCACACAGCAATAAGGCAGGTTAACCACAGCATTAGCAACACCTGCAGCTTAAAACAACACCGGGACCAATGAACCCGAGGGCAGAGAGCCCAAGGCACAGCCTCAGCCCGGCCCAGTTCCCATGTCAATCCCTGTTATTCCCACAGGCTGGTACAGTTTGTTCTCTCCTGGCAGTGTACACAGCCCTCTGCAGTGGCACTACTCAGACCTCCATACCTAAGCCTATTACTGACATGAGAAATTCAAGTTGGAAGCCAGTACCTTCACAGGGAGTAGAGCTGGCCATAAACGTGGCCGACTTAAAAGCAGGCTTAAAATAAAGGAAGCACTTCCCAGGTTATATCCTCCACCCGTGTGAAGTGCTGCGTGTGGCTTTACACAGCTCCTGAGAGCAGGGGAAATCACCTTCCTGGCAGCTTAGTTTACACGTACTGACCTGAGAGCACAGAACAGCTTCAAGCCAAAGCATTCTGGACTCATGGGAGACTTTTATTCTCCTGCATCTGCCCCCTCCTCATAAATCCATATTTACTCAGGAGCCAAGAATGGCAACCTTTAGCCAAGATTTTCCTTTCTATTGAACTTGTATATGGGAAGTGTTCTGGTGTGAACAAGGAGCTAAGAGGCAAGGCAATAGAAGGCAGACATAATTTAGTGATGAGAGACAAGGAGGAGCCTTAACCTGCCCGAGGGAGACTGAGCTGAGCTCTTAGGCAGAAGCTCTTCCCTGTGAGGGTGCTGAGGCGCTGGCACAGGGTGCCCAGAGAAGCTGTGGCTGCCCCATCCCTGGCAGTGTTCAAGGCCAGGTTGGACACAGGGGCTTGGAGCAAGCTGCTCCAGTGGAAGGGATCCCTGCCTGTGGCAGGGGCTGGAGCTGGAGGAGCTTTGAGGACCCTTCCCAACCATTCCATGATTCTATTCTATGCAAGCTGCTTGGAAATGAGGTGTTCCAAAGTAGAAGACAGATCCTGGCATTACATTTAATTGACTGGATACACTTAATAGGCAATCTAAATGTTAAATGCATGTGGTCCACAGTAACACGTAGCAGTAAACAGATTATTGCTGCACATATTCACCCATAAAGCTCGTGTTACTGAGCTTTGACTCTGTAAAAGTTTTGACATGCAATTATAAATGGATGTATTTGTTTCCGTCGCCAGCGCAGTGCTACATTCCTCGCTCATCTCTTCTACTTGACTGACTGTTTTAAGGACAGAATACAAATGACTTATCCACATAGAGAAAGAGAAGTTACCCTGCTATAATTGAGGTGTACAAATGACTAAAATAGTCTATCTTCATTATTTGATTCAAATGCTATTAAAACTAGAATATAGCAAAGCAGTTCCAGCTGCTCTGTAATTTCTCATTAAATATTAGAGGGAGAGTATTTTTGACTTTGGGTTTGAAAGAGCTGGTTTATAACCTTCTGCGTTAATGTTTAAAAATACATGAGCAGGCTGCTATTTGTAAAGCTCTCTGCGTATTCAGGCTACCAAACATAACTCTCTTTAAAAGAAATAAATAGTAAAATACATCATGCATGATAAAAAGCTGCTAAGCCCCAGAGAAAGACAGATGATAGAAGCCTCATGATGGATTCACAGCACAGCGAACGTGTGGGCTTGTTTAAATAACTGCTTTGAAGGGTGGAAAACAGGCACCCTCCTGGACACTGTTTTCTTTGTGGGGTGCAGAGCTGTACATATTTGCCTTGAGACAACTGAAGAACCTGCATTCTCTCCTTGACCATCTCCAAGGCTGATCAATGAGCACAGCCTGCTTGTCCTTCCCCTCAAAGCCCCCTCTCTAGATTGCATTAGCAGCACAGGGCCCACCTCGCCGTAGCAGTGCAAATCAGTCTCTGGGTGTCATTGATTCAGGTAGCACTGGGTGCAAGTCCCAACCTGGCCATCCTGTGCCAGCAGGCGTTCGAACATCTCCGACACTTCCTGCGGGAGCTGGACGTGGTGCTTCCTCAGGAAGAGGGCATGCTGGCTCAGGCAGGTCCGCAGCACGTCCGTGTCCCAGCTCTGCTCCGGCCTGAGGAACAAACGCAAGCACTGTCAGTCGGACACCCCTGTACACCAGACTCACACAGGCACCACGGTGGTCAACCTGCAGCAGGAAAAGCCTTTGTGCATTTTGCCCTTAATCCCCACTTTCTCTTTCAAAAACGTTGCAAGTGGAAGACAGAAGTCGGTTGTGACTTCCACAGACGTGGGAGGGTGGGCAGGGACCACCATCACCATCTCTGACCCCAGGCCCGTTCTGAAACTCAGGATCAGGAGACATTAAACCCTTCCTGCAGCCCCCAGTCCCAGCTTGGGCAGGCCTCACTCACTCCATGAGCTGCTCTGCTCACACCTTCTTGTCTTTTCTATATGAATAATCCTTTCATTGTTTTTGAGCAAAAGTGCCCTTTCCTTCAACGCACAAACTACAAACACTGCCATCCTGTCTGCCAAAGATGTTTGTTTCTCCAGTTGCTCCAATGAAGTTTGACAAACAGAAGAGTGAATTCCAATTAACTCCACGAGTGTTTGTCCCCAAGAAACCATTCAGGAGATACAACAAGGTATTAGTGCTCGCAGGCATATCAGCCTCGAAAGGAGAACCAGGTATAGCTAAATAGACCATTCTTCAGCGCTCACAAGTGCCCCGATCCTGCTAACACTTGAGCATTGCTGAGCCTCGAACAGGGAGGAAGGTCTAGACAGAAGCTAAGTAAGAAAGAATGGAAATTGTTTTCATTACTGCATTAAAGAGACCTTAAAAAAAAATAAATCAATTTTCACTTGTCCTTGTGGCAAATGCACAGGAAAGCAAAAGCCCACTTTGAATAACGGAGGTTATTGTTTTTAAAGGCTATATGCATCTTCTGCTTCACAGGAAAATAATCTGCTTCTCAAAATGACATTCCCCATGCTCACGTGCCCGAGCCTCGCGCTAAGATCACGCAAATTACTGGCTGAGAGGTCTCTGAAGTTAATGAGTTTCCCTCCGTGCCGCAGCAGCCTGGGGCGGGGGATGCTGCCGGTGGGGTGAGACGGGGGACCCGGCCCGAGCGCTGCCTGGAGCGGTGAGATTCACCAGCACAGAAGGGAAGGGAAAACAAACACATCTGGTTAAGGTCCTCGTTTGGAGCCGCACAAACATCAGCACTCAGACATCTTCACGTCCCAGTGCGATCGAGGCCTGGCCCCGGGCCCGCTTTCCCTGCCCCAGAGCAGACCTGGGAGGAAAGGAAAGAACATTCATCGCCCTCGCGGGCACGTTTTGTGGCTGAGATACCTGCTTTGCTCTTCACCCTCTGCTCTGCCTTGAGCCCGGAGCGTGTTCTCGGTTAGGAGGCAGCTCTGTAAGGAAGCCCGAAGCTGATGAAGGACGACAGCTTCGCATGCTTCTAGGTCTCCGTCTTCCAGCCTGGTGGCCCCGCTACAAAACGAAGCGGGTATTACAGGCAATGGCTATGTAAAGCCCAGACAGCAGCCTGGCTTTGGGGGCAGAATGTGCAACACCCCTCCTGGCTAACGGGCCAGCCCAGAGGGACAAACATCCGTGCCCACGCTCTCTGCAACAGGGAGGTCAAACCCAGCCCTTAGGAAACACCAGGTTCAATCTCACACCTCTGCTTCTGGCAGGGAGAGAGGAACCTGCACGGGTCCACTTGGTGCAACCACTTAATCCCAGTGTATGGAGCCTGACCTATAGCTTTAAATAAAAGTACAAAGCCATTCCCAATTGCTGGAATGAGGAGCCCGTGCTGCAGAGGGACGGTGAGGGCTCTCTGAGCCCAGGGTTTGGCGATACTCATTGCTCTTTTACCTTGAAGAAATGATTTGTCTGATTATTGCTGCCTACCTCAGTAAATCACACCAGCACGAGTAGCTAAGGGGTACTCTCATTCTTGGAAATCAGTATTTGCTTCACCAAAGGGGCGTGTGGAGCAAGGCTGCAGAAAGTGCTACGTTTGGGAAAGAACATTTGTTGCAGTAATTTGCCTAAGTGCCTCTAAGTGCCATATTTCAGCTCCCTGGTGACAGTGACGCGGCGGGAGGGGAGGGAGGCTTCTTAGCAATGTTTGTTTGCAGGAGCCTGGGTGCTCTTTGCACCGGCCATTTGTCACAGCAGACCTGGCTCGAGCCTCAACAGGCTCCTGCAACGCTGCTGGGTAACGGCCCCTCACCGCCCCAACGCGGGTACAAGTGTGTGCAGCCCACACCAAACCTACCCCAGGCCTCAGGCTGCACGTACAGCAGCGAGCAGGAACGCAGGGAGGGGGTGAGGTGTGAGGAGGCACTGCCTGCCCCCCGGCCCTGCCTGCTCTGGGGGGAAGCAGCATTAACCTGAGCAGCTCCAGCGTCACCATGTGCTTGCCCTGGTACAGCGCCCGGCGCCGGGTGCTCGTCCTCACCACGTCTTCTATCTGCTCCAGTGCACGGGAGAGGGCTGCCAGCATCCCACGGGAGCTGCGGAGGGACAGCAAACAGGGCTTGAAGTGACCTGTGGTGGACAGGTACTTAAATGCATTCCCATCACACCAGCTGGAAAACACACCCTCATTTTAGCTTTTCAAAGCAAAACAACAGCACAAACCACGCTGCTTCTTGAGCTCTGTAAGGAAGGAGGGAAAAAAAGGCAAGCACATGAGCAAATAAAGCATCCAAAAACCAGCCAGGGCCTGAGACACTGCATTGAAATCACCCCCGCGCCGAGTGGCTTAATTCCTTCACCACCATTGCAACAAATCTGGTGACCACCTACAGGTATGGGGACATAGCTGGGACCTCAGAGGGGTTCTGATGAAGCTGCACCTCTATAATGATGCAAATGAGGACTTAAGACGTTGAAACAATGGAGGAGGCTAATCCTTGCACAGAGGTGTAAATGGCTATTCAGGTCCAGGCCGGCTGCCCGCTTTGTTGGGGTCTTTCCAGGCCAGGTCTCCACCAGCAATGCCCCAGCTGGGCCTGGCCTCAAGGAAGATTTGCTTTCTTTCTTCCCCACCATGTGGAAGCTGACATGTTTATACAGCTAACCCTGCCGTACAGCCCTCCAGCGACAAGCTCCCTGCACCAAAACTCGGCTCATTTCAGTCTTGGTAAGCTGTACCCAAAGTTGCGTTTCCCTGTGGGGCAACAGCGAACAATGAAGTGGGGGCTGTGGCGCATTTAGCCGAGTTTCCTAGACATTTAATAAGCAAAACAATGCCAGGGAGATCACATATGCAGTTAAACAGCGCTTTTTCTTTCCCCCGCTCTCACAAGCCCTGTGTTTCAGCGGCCGGCTTGTTTCCCATTGTTTTCCTCCCACTGGGTGGTCCTTCCAGGGTGCCACTCGAGAGGGATACAATAATAAAAAGGGAAGGGGAAGGAAGGGACACCAACATAAAGCAAAACAAAATGTATGACAATCTGCAGCAGGCTACGGATCAGAGGTCAGCAAACAAGAGGTCCTTCTCTTTTACAGGTTGCTTCCTGGAAACAGTCTGATTAAGCTGACAGCTTGAATTATGTGTTACATTTTGTAATGCACAATCCATCTGTGCTAAGTCCTCTTCAATGCAGCTGAAGCAGCACAGGCATAAGCTCTGCCTTTTTCCACCCCCTCAGCACAGGCCTTAAAATAGTCATCATCTTTTCCTGCACTAAGTCTCAGAGACCCTCCTTCCCCAGCACCTCCTGCTCCTCGGGTTTAAGCCCTTAAAGAAAGGGCTGGCTGCTGCAAGGAATGGTGAGAGGAGACCGAGCCTTCCCCCTCCAGCTCAAACCAGCAACAAGCAGCCGAGGGCAGGAGCTATGGGGTGGCTTCATGGAGTGGGAGCAGCTCCGGTGCCTCCATGGGGCTGGCTCAAGCCGGGCAAAGCCCCTGCTCACAGCATGCTCCTGGGCTGAAAAGCGGACAGGAAACACAGAGCCCAGGCTGTGGTGGGGGTCCGAGAAGGCAGGGTGAGTCTGAAGTGCACGTGGTCAGCCTCGGGTCAACGCAGCCACCCAGCAGTGCTCTGAAACACTGCAGTGGGTTGGCAAACACCAGTGTTTTTAATAACTAAGGTGGCAGAACTGCAGCACCCTCCTGTGAGCTGCAACCAAGGCCACACCTCAGGCTAAACACCCTCGCACAGCAGCATCACCTTGATCTGGTTAATAGCTCAATGATGCTATCACAACGACTGTTCCTCTAGCTGGAGAAGGCACTTTGAAACTAGGCTGAACTCGCCCAGAGGTGAAATACGACCTGCAAATACTTACTGGGGGGGAACCCCAAAACTTGATAGAAAAAGAAAGAGAATGGTGCCTCTGCAGTGAAGTAGGAAAGGCATTTTCTCCAAAAATGCAACTTGTGACTCCCTGACAGGAACAATGGCTTTGGTTTGCCTCTTGAGTAAGCTGCAGCCTCTAACCACAAGAGCTCTTTCCAGCTCCATCACCTGCACTGATTTCCAACCATACACCAGAAGTGCACGAATGGCCCCAAAAGAACAGGAGAGGGAACTGTGCCTCACGTGAATGCCCCAGCAGCCGCCCTGCTGCAGTGGGAGAGTTCAAGCTACAGGTATTTCACTTCCAGATGGCAAAAGTGCAGAGGTCTGCATAAGTTCAGCATATTTCTTCAGCCAGCAGAGGAATTTAAGATGAAAACCCACAGGGACTGAAGGGTCACAGCAAGACCTGTGAGATGATTCACTTTGTGAAGCTGTGCTGTGATGAATTCAGACCAAGAAAAGTTGCATCCCCATAGTTGGTGTAATTCATGGAATTGAAATCCTGGTACTAACAACCTGGAAACTTCTCCCCAAGGTTTTCAGCTCCTGAAGCATTCTGCAGGCCTCCAGTGCACACACTGGATTTCATGGGCATCAGGAAGATGGATTTGGAAAGCCCACCTGGTGATGAGCATCAGGGGAAGGCTCTTCCCCTCCAGGAGACCTTCCCTACCTGCCACCTCTGAAAGCTTTCCTGTGGTTTCATTTTCAGGTAAAACGCATCACAATCTGTATCCTTCCTGCAGGAGCAGCTCACGGCAGCGATCCCGCTTCCACGGCCTTGAGAAACAGAGGCGTTCAGCTCGGCATAATGCAGAGCAAACCTCCCCGTTCTGGTTTCAGTCGTGCTCTGGAGATAATGCGAGCAGCAAAACCTTTTGTGTAATGTACCTGGGCCTCGAGAGCATTGCACAGTGCTTCCATCGCCCATGGAGCGCGGGAGGGAACAAAAGGTTAACCTGCCACCGCTCCAGCAGCGACTTCCCTGCGAGCTGCTCTGGTTAACAGGTGGTTACAGCAGAGACACTGGATAAAAGCTATTTAGATGTAAATTAGATGATGTTCCCACAGCAAGCAACAGCCTGATGCAAATGGGACATGATAAAGTTACACAAGTGTATATCGATGGCTGCGAGTTTCTGCTCAACCTATTAAAATACAAGCTAATACTGAAATCAGCACCTAAAGACTCCTGACCAGGAGCACAGGAAAAACAGATGCATTCAGCTGCAACCAACCAAAGAGGAAACAAACCAAAGCCTAACTAGCAACAGACTGCACCTCATTCTTCAGGGGTAAAAACACTGCTTGCTTCTGTACATGGTCTCTCCTCCCCCCACAGCCACCACCTAACCACCCTCTACCTAGCTAACCGCTCCAGCTAGGGCTCTTCTGCACATGAACAGTGCTGGCACAAGGCAGGGAGCCCCAGAGGGAGCAGCACCTGCTGGAAGACAGCACAGTCCTGCAGAAAAGGCTTCATTCAACATTTCTGTTGTGACTGGAGGCAGGAAAATGCTGCTGTTGAGGAGGCAGAAGGGTGTTGAGGAGGCAGAGGACAAGGAAACAGAAGTGGGCTGCTGAAGGAGAGCAGGCACAAAGGCAGCAGCAGTCAGAGGTCATGAAACCGTGTGGTCAGGCGGGAGCAGGATGGCCGGGGTGAAGGGATGTGGACATGAAGCACTGCAGCAGGAGCCGGTGGCAAGCAGACTTTCAGAAGAACTAAGACAGGAGACAGAAGCAGGAGGGATGCTCCTGTAGCAACGCAGCAGGACAAGGTGGGCACCCAGGAAGGGACAGCAGCAGTTGGCATGGGGCTGTTTGCACACAGTGAGGGAGCAAAGCCAGCCCTTCCCCGTGACCTGAGCAAGCCCGGTGGACCAGCCCACAGTGGGTACTGCCCCAGCAGGACAAGGATGTGCTTCCCTGCCCTACAAGGGTGCTGCAAAGCCAAAAGCCCAGCTGTGACTGACACTACAGCCAGTACCCTGGTAGTGAAGTTGTTGGCAACAAACCCCCTCCACTTGGCAGGGTAACAGAGGACAAGCCATGTGTCCACACGGCACTTCCCTCATTCCTTCTCTTGTTCTCAACCTATTTCCAAACAGAATGCTCAAGAAATTTAACCAACTGGTAATTTTAGTTCACACAAAATATACTGGATAGTAAACTAAGCACTATTATAGATAAATATTAAGTACTATTATACATATATATATATATATACACACTGAATCAATAGGTAAGAAGTTTGCCCAGGCATCAGCCTCCAGGGCACAGGCTAACAAGTACCAGCAGAGCGAAAACACACAAGGACATACCTGCCTGGTGCTGAGCTGCCCAAGGGCAGCTCCTCCTGCTCCACGTGAGGGTTTGGTGCATGCACTGGGGAGTCTTCTGCAGTGTGGGCATCCCTGCCCTGCTCCCAGTCTGCCACTGGTGAGGCCAATCCCTGCGGCACGCTCGGCATCACCTCCTCGGTGCTGGCAGGACCTGGCAGCACAGTGCTGATGCCCCAGCTCAGCTCCTTAGGAGTCCACCGGTTACCCAGGCCTGGCTTCGGTCCTGTAAAATTAGTAACAATCATAAGTTATTCCCAAAACGTTAGCAGGACCAAGGAACGCATCGTAGCACAGGGAATAAACTAACATCGCTCCACTGCTTGTTCACCTTTTCCACTCCGCACGTGAGAGCGAGCGAGCATCCCTCTGCTCTCCCTGAACTCCGGCTTTCCCTGCCCGAGCCCCGTGTCCTTTCACGCTCCTCTCGCAAGGGGGAGTCCAGGGAGGCTCCAGCCCTTGGAGTCTGCAGCTCCCGGCCGGTGGGGCACAGCTCACACACCGTCAGCGGTGGGGCAGGCACTGCTCACGCACCGTCAGCGGTGGGAAGAGCAGGACTTCACTAAACTGTCCCTGCAGAACCAGGCACAGAGGCACTGGAAAAGCTTTTCTTAGCGGAAAAAGCACACTTGGAGAGGCTGCTGCCATGGACATCCTTAAACCCTGCAGAAGAAACTCATGCCTGGAGGCGTTCAGACTGCACGTTAACGTTAACTGCCTTCTCTAAAAGGGTATGGGACTGAATCAGGCTTTGAAGACAACACACACACACTACTGATCTTTCTATCGAGGGCCAGAAGTTAATGGCTCAGCTATTGCTGTAACCAATTGGAATCGCTACGGGAATTCCCAGCTTTCCATAAATTCACCATGGGTTTGAATTACCCAGCACTCAAACACCTGCTGATGCTACAGCACCCAGCCGTTCTGCCCATCTCCGTCCTGCAGTGCCACTGGAACCGAATCACTCAAGCTTATGCCAAAGAGTGGCTGGTGCCAGGGTGGGCTCTCAGCCTGGTTCCCGAATTTGTGAGGCAAGTATGGGCAACAGAATTGTCACTCCTGCGCCTGCTGGGAAAGGAGGATGGAGAGGAACAGGGGCGCTTCTGCAGCTCGGAGAGGGAAGAAAGGGGCCATTTTGTTTCATTAACCTGGAGGAAAACAGGGTTTGCTCCTCCCTACAAGTGCTGGCGCTGTGAGCGGTGCCAGGGAGCAGCAGGAGAGGCTGACGAGCCTGGGATGGCACAGCCAAGCATCTTGATGAGCTCCCACTGCTGCAGAGGGGAAGGCCAAGCTCAGGAGAGCTGGAACAAGCCAGTCCCTCCGCACATTCCAACCGGGAGCGCGTTGGCCTGCGTGCTTTGCAGCGGCAGCCCAAGGGGATTAACGTGCTGTTTGACAAAAAGCCTGCTCTGATTCTGAACCCAACTGCACAGGTTCTCTGAGGGCACAGATACGGCATCCCGCAAATTCAATGGGTATTTCTCTCCCAGACACGATGCTGGCCACCTCAGCCTTCCCCACAGGGAGGAACCGGCAGAGCCCAGGCCTGGCGTAAGCTGGACTGGTCTCCTTCAGCGCCAGCAAGGACAGGCTTCCATTACAACAGGGGAGTGCCAAATGCATCAGATGAAAGAACATGAGAGGCAAATAAATTCATCACAGAAAGAAAAAGGAATGGAAAAAAACAAACCTCAAGAAAGAGGATGCCAGAAAGACCCCAAGAACAGAAGAGCATCTGGTGGGGATGCCAGCTTTCCTCTACAAAGAGGCTCACAGTCATTACTGGAGAGCATCATTAGGGTTGCCACCAGTTTCCATTATAAATAGCTCCATTTTAGCAACTGTTAGGGGGCTTGGAAAAGTAGCTTAAATTGAAAATTGCTACGTTAACTGGCAAGGCAGCAGAGAGTATTCCTGCAAGGTCTTAAAAGAGGAATAAACTGTTACTTAGCAAAAAGCCTTGGTCACTGTGACTTCAAAGACAAGCCCAGCAGCTTACTTCAGAGGAACTGACCAAGCCAGTAAAATGGGAGAACACATTTTGCCGAGACAGGGGAAGAAAAAGGAATGAGCAGTTGGAGCACGGCCTTTGAGGGCAGCACACCTCATCCCAGAGCAAGAGCATCTCAGCTGGGAGCATCACTGCCTTTTTCTGGAAAACCCAGCGCAAAGCACAGAACCACCAGCAAGCAGGAGTGAATCCAGCCACAGATGGGAAAATCAACCTGGAACAGAAGGGACATGCTCTTCCAGTGAAACAGGAGCACATTAAACCTCTTAACATGAGGATCAGACTAAGGACAACCGTGGGCACAGCAGTGAGTAAGTCTTGACTTTTTAATAGCGAAAGTGAGTAGGACCAGCCTCCAGTGAGCCCCTGCCTGTCCAGATGAGCAGCCTGGGAGGAAATGGAGTCAAAAGGAAGAAGAAAACAGAGAGAAAGATTGTCACCGCGCTTCAAGCCCAGCACTGGAGAGGCGAAGGACAAACCAGCAGTCGTGGGCACTGCTGTAGTTGGGTGCTGAGCAGAGGCGGACAGGAACGCATCCTGCTCTACCTGGGATGCTTCCCTGTGGCTGTTCCTCCTCAGGGCTACCTGGTTTGCTATCAGAAGCTGAAGAGATGAGCTCCTCAGAGTCTTCCTCACCGGCAGCCACATCCCCAGGTCTCGCTGCTCTCTCCACTGATGCTTCCCTCTCTAAATCAGTACTTCTGCTCTCCAGACCAAGTCCTTCAAGTGATGGCTCAGGCGCTGAGCAGCTCTCTGTGGGCTGAGGGGGGTTCTGCTGGGTGCCCAAACCCCTGCCAGCGGAGATGCCTGATGTGTGGCGGCTCATAAAGCCTGTAGCTGGGTGATGGAGCCGTCTTGGCACGGTTGTCCTGGTGCCGATTCCTGCCCACGGCACCTGAAAAACACAGGCGGGAGATAGCTTAAGGAAACAAACAGGCAGCACACTGCAAATGGACCTTCTAGAGCATGGCACGTTGGTTTCTGAACAGAAACGTGTCACCAAATGCAAGTACTTTCTATAGTGTTATTACTATACAAACACTTGGCACACATTTCTCACACCCTAGTGAGGAAACAACGGCCTGGACCTCAACTGAAGCTCTGTGAGGCAAAACAACCGGCAGCAAAAGCACACTGCACCTCAACCTGACTGTAGGGACTGAAGAACGTGAAGGACTCAATCCACATGGTAACTTGGTTTTGCAAGCAGGCAAACCTTTAAGATCAGGTTCCTGCAAAGGCTCTTCAGACCCCGACCAAAGCAAGAAGCTGCCCACTGAAGCCATGAGAACGTGTTGAAGTGATGACTCAAGAGGAAGAGCTGTGCTCTGTGTATGACTGAGCAGATGCTGGCAGCCTGGGGTTTAGGTACTGCAGCATCCCAAAACCAAGACACGACCATTAGGACCCTGCTGCAGTGACCAGGGCACAGCTGCCCCTCTGGAGCCACCCACAGCAGCAGCTCTGAGCAGCCACCTCCTGCTGCTCTTCTCGTGGTCTTCTGTAAAGGCAATGGGATGAGGAAAGGTCCCCAGAGAGTCTGAGGCATACATCTGCCATCGCTGGCTTGTCTCTATATCCAGCTTTGCTCACAGCATGTCGACAAAGCAGATAAAAACAAGGCAAGAATCACTGCATTGTCTTCCTTCTGCTCTTTCCTGTTAAATCACACCAAAGAGGAAGAACAACTACTCAGCTAACACCACGGAGATGAAATCTCCTTTTCCACGAGGCAACTTTGGCACCAAGCAGAAACATTTTGAATGGCCCTTTCCTCCAAGAACTGTTGAACTTGCATAAAAACAGTTCCAACAGTGAAAGCACTCTGCTTCAGATCCCAGTGGTTTAATACTTGCCTCTTTTCCTTTGTAAACCTACTCAATCAGAACAATTTAGAAGGAGTGGCTGCCGCCAGCACTACTACTAAAAGGTCACCACCAGTTTATGCAAAGCCAAAATTAGCTACCGTAATTCCATTGTTCATACTAAGCAGGGCTTACTGTTCAGCCCCAAATCACAGCAGGAGAATTTACAGTCACCTCCACACCTCTCTCCTCTCTTTCATTGCCTGACCTCTTCCTACCATATAAAGTCAGCTGCCAAGCCCAGCTTAAAGGAAACAAAGGCATCTTGTCTAGTCTGTGACCAAGTTTCATTAAAAAAGCTCAAATTCTACATAACAAGCAGCAGAACAAAAAGCCATGAAGTTATTCTAAGGAGTAAAGGTTTGCTACTCAGATTAAGTTCACAGCTTATTCCACCACCGCCGCTCTCGGGTTCCTCCTAATTACTTTTCAGGTGTTGGATTTGCTGCTTTAAAATGACTCTAGTGAGTACTTGATGGATTTAGCAGCTCCTGGATGTAGCGTTCCAAAACAAATGCAATGCAGACAGGTACAAGTGCTTTGCAGAGCCACAGCAGACACATCTCTAACAAGCTCCTCTTTGATTGCAGAGAAAAATCATCTCTTTACCACCTTTGCTTTCTCAAAGCAGAAGTGTGGCAGATGACGCTGGTTCACGTTCTGCTTTTGCCACCCAAAACAACAGTAGGAGTGTGTAGACTTGCCCAGAATAGTCAACAAAACGACTGAACTTCATGTCACTCGAGCCAGGAATTAAACACAGTCTCTGCACAAAGCACACTCAACGATCCTCTCTTTGGTGGTGGAGAACAGGCTCCCTGCTTCTCCCTCCCATCACAAATACAGTCTTATTTATCATCATCAAAGTGGTTTTGAAGAGAACAAAGGTAAGAAGAAAAGTCCTTTCCATTAGGACTTGCACCGCCACCCTCGGGCATCTATCGGAGCTGCTGGTGCCCCACATCCAACAGTGAGGCTCTGTCGAGGTGCACAAGCCCAAAACGTGCACAAGACCTCAAGGAACTGCTCTGAAGATGAAGACTCCATGGCCCAGAGGTTTCCAAAGCCCACATTACACAGCTCGGCAGCTCAGGAGGACCTCTGCTGCACAGGGCATCTCCTCCAACTTGCAGCCCTGGATTGCTGTCACACTTGGCTTCGGAAGGCCAGTGCTCAAGCCCTCTCCATGGAGAGTCGTGGTTTTCCAGACCAACACTGTTTGGATAGATGAATTCTGAGCATAAAATCTGGGAGTCCTAAAGGCAGCACATCCCATGGCTCATGGAAGGAGCAGATACTCACACTAGTGGTTTCGGGCCACTGGGATACCGACCATCTCTGGAAGGATGCTTCTGTGGCTGCCCTCCTTAGTCTCCAAGGCACATCACTGACCAGGTTATCACACAGTCACTGCCATCCTGACCAGCCTGAAGGCAACCACTGCGGGTAAATTAAAACCAGCTCCAAGCTGTGATGATTTGCATCCTGCGTATACCACCAGTAACTGTGCTGGCAATGACTGACCCATTGCCACAGCACTGAGAACACTTGTGTTCTGGACATCATAAGCAGGTTTTAAGTGGGGGGGAAGGTGGTGGGAAATGGGCACAATTAGTCCAAGAAAAAATGGAGTTAGATCTAAGAGACACAGCCCATAGACAAGGCAGAAGGGTGCACAATTCGGTTGCAGCTACCTCTGTATTTAAGGAGGGCGATCAGAAGGAGAAAGGAGGGGGCAGGGGATGAAAGAGTCCACAATCACATTGTTAATTCAACTAACTAGTGAAATCAAGCAAGTAGCTCAACATAAAGTGACAAATTCGGGTATGCATCAAGTTCTTACACTGCCCCCAACCCACCAACTGTTGTTAAACACCCAAGTTCCATGGCGAGCCTTTGATGTTCCAGTATCTGTGCAAAGTTTTCCATAGGTCAGAAATCACATCTCCTTCACTGACAGCTTTTAATTGAAGAATCCAGCATTCAAGAACAAACTCACCTTTTCACACACGTCTGAATTAAACTCGTGATTCAGAGGCTGCTTCTATAGGTCAAGGTTGCTCGGGTTCATTGCTTTGTATATTGCAGTTTAAAGAAGGCTCTAAATTCAAGGTTTTTAACTTTTTAATCTACAGGGAAAACTTCCTATAAACTCAGATTAATGACTGCTAATGCACTGAAGAAAGGAAACCAAAAACCTGCCTCCTACTATAAAAACAAAATAGTGTGGCCTCTGTTTCTTTTCTGATAAGAGTCTTAAATACCAAACATTTAACTGCATAATAACATTTACTGGCAGCCAGGCAGCCTGCTTAGCAGATACATAAAGCAGGTAAAAGGAGAAAAAGTTAATTTCTTGGCTGAATGATTCCATCGGTAGCTATAGGGCAAACTAGAAAGTCTTTTAGTAAAGTAGCAGTTGATTCTTCTATCAATCTGCAGCACACATACTCTTCCAAGGAATGCATTAAATATGAAAATCATATCCCGTTATCATCTGTTCCCAGCTTTCAGCCCAGTAAGCTTTTCTTAATGAATGCTGTAGCCTAAGGGACAAGCATGCTGTTGGCTTTGCTGAATAATGGAGTGATGCTGCCGCTTTTGCTTATTCCAATATCGACTGGCTGAGGGGGTTTCACACATAGTCACAAGTGACTACTCTTGCCAGCATGCTCCAAGTTATTACAAGATGTTTTTAGACATTTCATCTAAAAGAGCTTTACTGCTTTTAGTGAAGAAAACAGCTATGGTCTTGAACTGTATCATTTATATGGAGATAGGAGGAGGGATTAGAAGCCTGCATTACCGCAGATATATAGCGGAATACATTTAAGTATTCCTTGTCAGTCTTTTTGTCTGTTCCTCAGATAGGCAATCTCCTTCTGCTGCTTCTGAGGAAAGGTCAAAACGCACAAAATTAGAAAGACGCCCTGCGAATCGACTGCTGCATTTTTAACCATCATTCATTAAGAACATTCCCTCCTCGGTCAAGACCGTTTTCACGCTGTTTGGCACAAAACCCCACACGAAGATGGATACAAGCACTTAGAGCTCCCCCCTAATTCCAGTTCTCTGGTTGAACTAATTTGCACTTTTTGCCCAGGTTCTTCTGCTTCACCCGGGCGCTAAACAATGCTCCACACTGCACACGCTGCAGCACAACTGCCCAGCACAGCCGTGCCTGCTCCTCGCGCAGCAGCACATCAGTGTCACAGAACACATTACCCCCTCCTTCCCATTACCTGCTCCATGCAGTCCCATTCCTCATCACCTCCTGCTGCCAAGTCAGCCCCTCCAAGCGCTAACACGCGTTTGATTTCTCTTCTGTACGATGCCTAAACGTGAACAAATGCATTACATAAAATTGAAGGCCAAACCCAAAAACCCCAAAGCATCACAAATCAAAATGTTACTTTGCAAGCTGTGTCTCTAAATGCCGTGCCCCGGCAGCAGTTTTCACTTGGGCTATGTGTAAGAAGCCAGAAACCCCATTTTCCCCTCCTCTTCCTGCTCCCCAGCACAACTGATGCTGCCTGTACACAATCTTCTGCAGGTTTTTAACACACATTTATTCATCCACGTAATTTAGAATCCTACAAAATAGGAATAACTTGTTGACTCCAATTTATTTCATCCCAACAAGCATGTGCAATGCCAGATGATTCCTGCTGTATCCAGACAACGACTCTGCTGCCTCGGGATGAAGGGAACTTTAGAATTTGGTTTTGGTTTACATGCATCAGCTTACAACTCACTGACAGAAAAATACATGGCAGATGTTAGAGAGCAACCCAGCAGGAAAGGCAACTTGCTGTGGTGTTGCACAACCAACCACACACACCGTCCCCACCTCCACTCCACTGTTTAATTGACCAGACGTAACGTGCTCATTGTGGGACTACTGCTTAAAAGCCAAGCACAGGCAGCACCTATAATTAATCCTGTTTGTTAATAATCGTAAACCCCAATAACAAGTTACATCGGCCCTGAATAAAAGCACTTCAGGACCTACTCTGCACCAGGTAATATGCATGAAAATATGGCTTGGAAACAATTAACTTCACCAGCCCTGCTCTCCACTCCAGTGGCGCATTCAGTGACTCCGCTATTGCCCAGGTAACAGAAACTGCTCAGAAAGCTGTAAACATGAGTTGAGGAAACAGAACCTAACCACATCCTAAAGATGCTCAGAACAAACTCCCATGTAACTGCAGGACTGTCCCTGAAAGCTGACGTGGATTTACTTGTACTCGACACAAGTGACACAAACACGGGGGGAAAAGTGAGTATTTCAGAAACAACAGAAGTTCTGTCAGCTACAGCCACATAATGAAACATGCACAGTCATGAAAGCACTCCTAAAGGGCATTCTCCCTCAAGGAAAAGAGAAAAACAGTGATCATGTCCTCCTGTGTACTTCCAGAATGGATTCAACCATTACAGGCTCCATAATTCCCATGCAATCCATGACAAGCGGCTCTTCAGAACCATGACACAGAGGCTACGTAACCTGGGCTTTGTGAACAGCTCAGAACGAGGAGTCTAACCTGGCAAAACTAAAATGGATGGCACAGGAACATCAAAATGGAAGCAGTGAATGGAACCCTGCACCCAGATCAACCCGTGGCACAACCACGGCTCAGCCGGTACATTACAACCTATCACTACTCAAACTGGGGTGTGGTAGGGCTGCTTGGGAAAAAGATCATCCATAAAAGGAGGAGTAAACCTGCATCAGAGCACCCCTGTCCTGCTTGGCTTTGAGGGAAAAGAGAAAAGAAAAGGGGGGAAACCACACAGCCCTCCAGGAACTGCCTCTCATCAACCGGTAACCAAGGAAAAGGGGCTCTGTGAGCATCACCAGATCCACCAGGCATTGCTGGGCTCTAGCTGTGCCAGGCACTTGTTAACGTGGGTGTACAGCCATGGGGTACCCACCAGGCCACTGGTTTGTCAGCGTGGGAAGGAACTGCTGCCCCCAGAGATCTGCTTCTTTCCTCACTTCCAAAGGCAGGGGATGAGCCAACAACCCTCACTGAAGCCAAGGGCAGCACCTCCCACGTGGCAGCTGGCCCTGCAAACCTACCAGCATTTATGAGGGAGCCTTAGTCAACAGCTAACATCAACCCCAAAAAGTTTGGGGTGGGTTTGTTTGTTTTAGCCACAGTACAAATTGTATGAGGCTTGTTGTCACATTATAGTGATGTGACAAGCAGCTTCTGAGGATTCAAAAGGGACCACATGCTGCACTAACACCCTTAGTTAAAAGCACTGATGATTTTTAGAGAGGAACAAGGCTCACACCTCAGGTTGTACATTTAGCTACTGAAAAAATGGAACTTTTCTAATGTAAGAACTGCACACAAAGGGTTTCTTGCCCTTTACAGTGATGCAGTTAGTGAAAGCCAAACCAGAGCACAGGAAAAAACACACCACATAAAATAAAGCACTTTGTTGCTTCTACATCCCTAGTCAGACTAAGCTCCAATAACACTTCCTGGTGTGCTGTTTCCAGAGCATATTAAGATAAAAACTTCAAAAACTACTATAAAGTAAGGTTTGCTCATTTGATTTCTAACTTCTACATCACTTCACACTTTTTCCCCTTCCGATCCCCCTGGTTTTACACTGCAGCCCAATTCTTTCCTCCTCTTCAACACATCCTTCTACAAGATCACAGTCTACGTTTTACCGTTTCGGATCAAGCTGTGCCTGTCCCGGAAGAGAAGAGAGGGAGGAGAACGGCTCACCCTGAGCACACTGCTCCCCTCCCAATTCAAACAGCATCCCAGAGAAACAAACCCAATCCCAGCAGAGCTCTAGAGAGCCACACAAAGTAGGGGCTGTGTCAGTACCACATCACAGGGGCCTAAAATCCCGCAGCCGATTTGTTTCCTTCCCTCCTCTCTTCTGGCAAGTTAGAACAGGGGAATGGCCAAGGGACAGACATAGCCCCTGCTGAACCCTCCTGAAGGTGCTGCTGTTCCTTGCCAGCAGGTGTAGTAAGCACATTTCCCTCCCAAATCTTGCCCCCCAAAAAACTCCAAGTATCAGTGGCATCAGTGATAAGCAGGGCCAGGACTGACTATGGGTACTCAGGGTGTTCACACCAGCTACATTAGAAATATGTCCTGAAACAACTGCCACAACATGTATTTGATATTTGTGAGTAATAAAAGCTTTACTACAGTTAAACTTACAGCTTTATAACAAAGCCTTTATGAAACTATTACAACTCAAGTCTTTTTGTCCTAACCTAGACAACCCTGATTTATTATCGCTAAGGCTCCAAACACGTTTCCACATCTTTCTGATCTCTGTTCTCCCTTGCTTCCAAAGAGGCTCACTTAGAAGACTGCACAGAGCTCTGTGAAGCATTGCTGACGACCTCTGCAGTTACAGCAGGCTCTGCAGCAGCACATATCAGCAGTTTGGGCTCATTTCAATTCCACAACATTACCCCTTTAAGCACTCCAGAACAAACAATGAGGTATCACTAACATCTGCAGCCTCGATGTGTATAATGCTCAGACAAAACCTATTTAGCCACCCTGTAACAGCAGTAAACACTAGCACATTAGGTCTTATAGAAAGTTACTTCCATCTTCTGAGTCATCTCCAAGCTTGAAGCTTTCATTTGAGCCTCAAACTGGTCAAACTCCTCCAGCAGGGTCTGGTTCCGCAGACGAGCTCTTTCCTGGCGCTCCTGTACTTCTTTCAAGTAGTTTTTCAGCTTCATGTATTTTAGTTTCATTCTACAGAGGAAAAATAAACTGTACTTGAGCATGAAAATAACCCAAAGACAGCTATTACAGCCCCTTTTCCCCAGACACACATGAACTAACTCTTCTGTGGGAGCTGCCCCCCATAAAACAACAGACAATTTTCTCACAACCATCCAAAGCCTCATACAACTGACAGGATGCCTGCTACGTAACTTCAGCTTTGGACAGGGGGCCTGGTGTTCAAACAGGTAAAGTATATTCATTAACTCTTGCAAATTTGTTCTAAATGGACTACGGTTCAGTCACTTATTTCATGAAATCCAAATGAAAGCTGCATTTAGAAGAATGTGCTCTGGAAGCCCAACTGTAACATCAGGGCTAAGTCTACACAACTGCTTCAAGCTGATCTAAATCCCACCAAAGGGATCTCTCACTCCCAGCTTTTCTTTTCTGTGCCAATGCTATCTGCCATGCGGCCAGGTCAGGCCAGGAGTCATCCAGCTGAAAATCCACCTAAACCAGCTCTCATCCACCCAAAACACACATCCACTTCCAGCCAGATCTACTTCCTTACCTGCTTACAGGCCAGCCACACAAGGGGCCTGGCCAGTACTGCACCTAGCCCTCAGTCCCTCGAGCCAAGATGGAAAGGTTGCCTCAAGAACTTTACAAAACCCATTTGAGGAGAGGAATGGAACAGTGGCTGAGGCACTTTCCAGCCCTCTTTTGTTGCTGTGCGTTTTGGTTTGTGGTTTATATCCCTTTGGTTTATAGTTTAGGATTTGGTGGGGTTTGGTACAGACTGTATATACAGTTTACATTAACAGATAATGCAGAAAATCCAAGGAGCAGGAGCAGACCCTAGAATATCTGCTAGGATTTCCTGAGGCTTTCAGACCATAGGATCCCAGGACTCTGTAGCACAAACTATGCTACAGTGATTCTATAGAAGTTGCACAAAACCAATTTCTTGTTGGTTACTACCAACATAATAATATTTTAGCATTAACAGAATAAGGCAGTTCTGTTATTGCTGAAGTTATTTCATTAATAACTTAGAGACAAGAACCTTACATTATACTTAACATATGAATTTAAGCTGGTTATAAAACAACCCTTCAAAATTACATTCTGAAAGCATTCCACAATACCCAAGTTTTTCTAAGTAAAATAACCTATAAGAAGCTTTTGAATAGGCTTACAGGCATGCATCCGACCTCCTGTATTCTATCAGGTTTCTTTGTAATTCCATTCTTTTGGCTTCACTGGAAGAAAACAAACAACATACAGTAAGAGAAAACTGTTTCACAACTTACATTTGACAAAAGCAGGAAACAAAGCATTGTACAGAGCACAACACCTCCCAGAACACGGCACGGGAAGGCATCAGCATGTTAAAATAGGGTTCTGAGAAGTCCCAACTCTTTCCCAGCTTACAGACCCAATGTGCTACCCAAGTGCTCTATCTAACAGTTTGCACTTAAAATCAAGCACCCGTTTCATATCTGTGCATTAAAGCCAAGTACATCTACTAGCACAACCTGCCAGAACCCACAGGAGGGGAACAGGCAGAAGTAACCACCCCAGGTATCTACGGTTGAGAAAATGCCATGTGCCATCTGAATCTGCCCAAAGCAACACAAGGCCCGTGGGGATGATCAGGCTGCTGGAGGACAAACTCCATAGGCTTCCATAGCCAATCTATTCCAAAGAGCATCTATTGTGAGGAGGAGGAGTAAAGCTGAGACTAGTCAGTAATTACAAACTGCACCTGAAGATGAGCAACTATGCCATGAGTGGTTTATGGGTTTTACTTTAATGTGGTTTTAATTTCAAGTTTCTACATTAAAACAATCAATTGTTAAGACAGAAGCTTCCAGAAGATTCACATCACAAACCCTGCAGCAACCAAAGCAGTGCCCCAAGCTGCTAATTGAAACATAAGATCAAATTCTTATTAGCCTAAGGACCTGCACACTGAGGCACACACAGCCACCTCCTCCTGGCTGCCCGGCACAGAGGGAAGCAGGAGAAGAGACCCTTTCTGCTGCTTACTCCGAGATCAAGGCATCCATTTTAGCCATCTGATCCTGCCACTGGCTGAAACAAGATTAGGGTTTCGTGTCATGTATGCAATTTAAAAGCCACGCTTCATCTGGGATCTCATCCTTTCAATTTCCTTTTACATGACAGACAGCCAAGTAAAAGCAGATTTCAAGATCTTGTTTTTACACTTCTAGAAGTAATTTTCCTGACTCTGAAGAACACCGATATCCTGATGGGTACAAAAGCCCATGGACATGAACAGCCATTGGCTCCAGTCCTGTTTCTCATTCTCCGATACCGGGGTAGCACATCCCATCCTTCAGCTCCTGAAAGTTTCCTTTCTGCCAGCGTGGGCTTTCAGCATCCCATTCACTAGGCTGTTACAGCTATTTAGACAGCGCATGAACATACAAGCAAGGTCTCCTCAAGGCAAAGCAATACAAAACCAGCACCAGATAAAAGCCTCTCAGCATCACCGGTACGGATGCCTGGGATGGTGAGTGCACAGCTCGTGCTGTTCTGCAGCACAGCTCTGCCCCAGCACTGCAGCAGAGCAACCAAGACTTGGCTTGTGGATCTGCCTGCCCAGGTCCTGGCAAGGTTCTGTGTGTCAGGGACTGAAGAGAAGCCTGAAGCAGAACAGGGATTGCTCCAGTCACTCTGCTGCACCGCCTCCTTTTTTACATGAGGAATCCCCAAAGCTCCCTGCCCCACTATGTCAGCTCTTCACACACTTGCACTAAAACCCCACAAACAGTTGCTCATCAACCTTTTTCCTCAGATGAACACAAATAACATACCTCCAAAGGTTTTAAGGATCCAGGTGGCTCGTTTTCAAACAGCCCCGAATCTCCAGTCTACAGAGAAAGAGCATTAGGTTGGGATTTGGGAGCAAAATTCACCTCCCTGCTCAGCCACAAGCTCTCTCTAATCTCTGGCATTCCACCAGGCATCCATCTGCAGCAATATTTGATCCCTCACCTCCCATTTACACCAGCAGAGTGAAGATGCCTCGGTATTTTCCAAGACACCAGGCCTTCGTCTCTTTGTGCTTCAGTCCTGCATCCATAATGCAGGAATAACGGTACTCCTGTCATGACACCCTGTTGAGATAAGTGCACAGAAAATTGTGCAGCACTTGGGCACAATGCAATCCTCCCACAGCAGTAAGAAACACTCTCTTCATGGTTGTTTTTCTCCACCAATCTGACATTAAATCAACTGTTGAGCACCGAGCTGCATCCACCAGAGCCTGCTCAAGACACTGGGCCCCTGGGTTAGAAGGGGCCCGTTTAACACCTTCATCTACATAGAACTGACCCCAGCAGGTATGTCTGAAGCTAATAATCCTCCCTGGTTTACATCCTCCGTCCAGGACATCTCAGTATTTGTACAGTTTACAGCAAATCACCCTTAGCCTGAAGCATCTGGCCTCCCTGTCTGAAAAGCAAAGCTGATTGCAAAGTTAGTCACAGTGTTAAGTACAGCACTTAGTTACCTAATTCATTTACTCCATTACTCACACACTCAAACCCTGCCTTTCTCACCAGCAATCACCAAAGATTAAGTGCTGAGTAATCACAACATGGTCAGGGCTGTATAAAACACAGGGTAAACTGTCCACCCCATTTCCTTTATTATCTTTGACACCTCAAACCTAATCCGTTATCATTCGGCACACAAGAGACACCCCTGACCTGCACAGAGACCTATGCACGCAGTAGCTTTATATTTAGATTGGATAAAGGACCAGTATTAAGAAATAAAACTGACCAATGGAGTCCAATATGTGCAAAACCCCCATAGGTGTACCTTAAATCACAAGCTTCAAGGCAGCCCGTGCTGACTATCAGAAGCATGCATCAGGTAGCTAATTTCTCAAGCACTTCAGAACTAAGATACTTAGCTCTTAAGAACTAAGAAGAAGAGATTTTAAGAAGAGACATATGAGAAGAGGTGGAAAAGCAATCCTCATGAGGACTCCCTTCAAGTTCACCAACAGCCAAGCAGCAGCTTCCCCACCACATTCGACCTCTTGCTCAAGCACAGCTGTGAACAGGAGCAGGATGCAGCCCAGGGTGGAACAGCTACTGAGTACTTCAGGTCTTGGAACAGCAGACTTGGAGTCAGATCAGTGCAGAATGCCGAAGCTGAAGCACCGCAGTGATTTACTAAGGATTTCCTATTCCACACTTTAAAAACTTGTTTAGATAAAAGATCACTTCTGGAGAGGCAACTGCCTCTGCAGCACCATCCCAGAGGTGACAGCAGCACGCAGCTGGTGTCTGGCATCAGAAGGACTCCTGTTTGTCAGCACCACCAAGTACAAATAACTCCCAAACCTTTCGGTGCAACGGAACTGGGCAGAGGAGCTGATATCTGAAGCGTGCTACGTGCCCAGAGGTTTCAGAGGAGCTGAAGAGGGACAGCCCATTTGTGCAGCACCAGCTCAGCCCTAGCTCAGACAACGGAGAAGCTACGAAAGAGGTGACCAAACGTCACACAGACCAAGCTCTCGGGAGCACAAGACACCTCTCCTCCTAACATGAGTGATATGTGCACACAAAGACAGAGCTTAAAGCAGCTCCTGATCTAGAACATGCAGATTTTAACCTCCCCTCTCCATTTTCTAATGCCACAATTTAGGCAGTGTCTTCCCTACCAAGGGACACAGCTTTCCATGCAATTCCTAGACAATAAAGGCTGTTCAGCCTGGAAAAGAAAAGCTGCGTGGAGACCCGATAGCAGCTTCCAGTATGTGAAGGGGGCCTATAGGGATGCTGGGGAGGGACTCTTCATTAGGGACTGTAGTGACAGGAGAAGGGGTAACGGGTTAAAACTGAAACAGGGGAAGTTTAGATTGGATATAAGAAGGAAATTCTTTCCTGTGAGGGTGCTGAGGCACTGGAATGGGTTGGCCAGGGAGGTTGTGAATGCTCCATCCCTGGCAGTGTTCAAGGCCAGGTTGGATGAAGCCTTGGGTGAGATGGTTTAGTATGAGGTGTCCCTGCCCATGGTAGGGGGGTTGGAACTGCGTGATCTTAAGGTCCTTTCCAGCCCTAACTATTCTATGATTCTATAACAAAACACACTTTGGATAGCCTTACTCTGTCTTTTAAACAGCAAGTTACGCCAGTTTGCCTGTGGTGTTCCAGACCAGAACAGGGTACCAGTGAAGATACACATAGCAGCTTGGCAGAAGCACTCATCTACCCACATGGTTCCCTTCTTGTGGCCACAGCATTGTTATTTCTGCTAACACTGCACACCTGAGACCCAGAAACCAAAGTGTTCTGTCCTGGACAGAAAATAGGCACTGCTTAAACAACCAGCTCCCTGTCAGCAGCGATCCTGAGAGGCTTCCTTGGGCAGGCACAAAGTGCTGACTGACCCCAACTACTGCGGTTAATACAGCGAGTAACAGGCCAGGAGCATCACTAATGGTGTGCAGCTCCTGAGGAGCCACTGGTGACTGAGATCCCCCAGGCCACGGCCCCTGTGCACCCACTGGCTTCTTCCCTGAAGCCACATCCCCCAAAGCACCTGTAAATGGAAACACCCAAAATAACAGCTATTAAGGATTGAAACGTCACCGATAAGGGAGGCATCTGTGCACGTCCATTCACCTGGCCTGCACTGAGACACCAGCACTGACGGTCTTTGCCTGTTGGTTAAAGTAACAAGTGACAAAGTGACTATTGCCAGGAGTGCTCCGGGAGCACACCAGCCTGGCAGTGAGAGCTCTGCACCACCACATTCATGGCCCCACAGAACCAGCCAGGTCGGAAAAACCCTTTAAGCTCAGTCCAACTGCCCCCTAGCACTGCCAAGGCCACCACTAACCCATGGCACTGAGGCCTTGTCTCCACGGGGTGTGAACCCTTGCACGGACGGTGACTGCAGCCCTGCCCTGGGCAGCCTGTTCCAATGCCTGAGCACCCTCTGGGGCAGGAATTGTTCCTCAGCTCCATCTAAACCTGACCCCAGCACCCCAGCGCAGCACTGTGCCCCCGGAGCAGCAGAGAACACAGCGGTCAGGCGCTGCGGGTGCCCTGGCTGCCCCTGCTCCCAACACCAACCAGCGCAGGGACCGTGCTGAAGCAGCAGAGCACAGACGGGCCCTGCCCGCGTCACCGCGGGGGACCAGGGGCAGCCCCGCCCGGTAACACCCCCGAGACCCGAGCACCCCGTTCCCCTCCTCCCGCAGGATCAGCGGTACCCGGACCCCCGGGAGGGCCCGGACAGCAGCGCGTCCCCTCGGGACGGGCAGAGGGAGCTGGGGGAGCCCGCGGGGCCGCGCGCCCCTCACGGCCCTTCCCCGGAGCGGCGGGCGAGGCCCAGCGGGGGCCCTGGAGGGCGGAGCGCAACGCAAGGGCCGCTCGGTGCCTCACCTGCGGAAGAGGCGCTGCACGGGGGAGCCGAGCTCCGGGCTGCAGGGGGAGCCGGGCAGGGGGGAGCCGGGCCCCGGGCTGCGGGAGCCGCCGCCATAAAGGACGCCGGTGCCGCTCATGCCGCGCTGTTGACGGCGGTGCCCGAGGCCCCGCTCCCGCCGTGCACCGCTGCCGGCCCGCCCCGGAAGCCCCGCCCCGCCCCGCGTTGCCATGGGCACCGGGCCGCTCCCGCCGCGGCCTGCCCCGGGCTCCCACCGGAGCATCCCAAGCCCGCGGTGTGGGCCGGGCGCTGCCGTCCGCGGAGCCGGTAAACCCGCGTTCTTCCTGCAGCTGGGGGGCGATGGCTTTAAACGCGTTCATTTCGGTGTCGCGGCCGGTGGAACGGCTGCGGGGCCCTGCGGGCGGCTGGTGCTGGGAGCAGAGCCCAGGTGGGCCGATGGGTGATCCCCGTGCCGGGGAAAGGGAAACGGGGCCTTTGAGAGGCGCTGGGACATCAGTGCCCGTGATAACGGGGAGCTGCGGCAGTTACAGCGACAGGGACCCCCGTTAGCCGCTGCTTTTGGTGCAGAGGGCTGACCGATGTACAGGGGCGTGTGCAAGGGGGGATAAGGGAATTCTGCCTCTTCAACAGAAAGCACTGTTTGCAAATACCTGTCAAGCATGCCATGCAGTACCAGGACTATAGGCTATTGATAAGGGGGAGAAACAGACTGGTAAGGGGGAGAAACAGACTGATAAGGGGGAGAAACAGACTGGTAAGGGGGAGGAAGAGTTACTTAGTTCCAGTGAAGACCAGCTTTGTGGTCTGGACTTTGACCAGACTCCTAAAGAGCACGCATGAGGGCTAGAGGTGAAAAGATCAGGCTCGAGGAAGACTCATTTACTTCATCGTGAGCCCCTCGCCCATGACCAGGGGGAGCGCTGCGCAGGCACAAAGGACCTTCTAGCTCATTATACTACGAAGCAGGGATAGAACATGAATATGTATAGGCTTATTGTGCAACCTCATGAATATATGTGACTTTAGAGAATAAATGTAGAGGGAAACAACACTGAGGTACGCATGCCTTTGGAGGAGCGATCCCCCGTGCGTCTCAGCGCTGAATAAAAGCGTACCTACTTTACAGCTTTAACCAGTTGTGGAGTCTGTCTGCGCATCACTTTCACCAAGCTGACTGCACACTGTGGCTTTCAGGACAAAACCGAACCAGAAAGTGCAAGCGGCCTTTTTCCATTGCACAGAGATCGAGCATCCCAGTGAGATCCCGACCCCGGCTCCCCTGAGGTCCCACGTCTCCAGCGGGCAGAGCTCGTCCGTGTCCTCGCACCAGGATCCACGGAAGGAGCCACACCACGGGGTCAGCCCTGGCCAGCCCCTGCTGGTAAAGAAACAGGAAATAAAGGTGCTTTTGTTTCATCTCAAGGTAAAAAACTTGGATCCCTTTGAGAGCCGGTTGCCAAATCAGTGAGTAAATTCCAGCGCTCCAAGAGCACCTTCAGACGCCACCAGTGGTTGGCTTTGAGGAGAGACACCGCATCAATAGGAAAAATTGCACAGAGCTGGGAAATGCTTAAGCATGATTAGAGCAGCAATCAGGGCACAATTAGTACAGTATCATCATAATTACTCTTCATTAGAACTTCTGTGCAACAACAGTGTCAGTTGTGGTTGGGAGGGAGCAGCAGAGGCTCCGGAGCTTCCAGGCTGCCATGGGCCAGGCTCCTCATATCCCTGTTCCAGTGGTTTTCAATATCCTCAAACTGAGATAAACCAAATTTACATCACGCAATCCCAGCCTGGTTTGGGCTGAAGGGACCTCAAAGCTCCTCCAGCTCCAACCCCTGCCACGGGCAGGGACCCCTTCCACTGGAGCAGCTTGCTCCAAGCCCCTGTGTCCAACCTGCCCTTGAACACTGCCAGGGATGGGGCAGCTGCAGCTTCTCTGGGCACCCTGTGCCAGCGCCTCAGCACCCTCACAGGGAAGAGCTTCTGCCTAAGAGCTCAGCTCAGTCTCCCCTCGGGCAGGTTCAAGCCATTCCCCTTGGCCTGTCCCTCCATCCCTTGTCCCAAGCTCCTCTCCAGGTTTCCTGCAGCCCCTTCAGGCACTGGAGCTGCTCTCAGGTCTCCCCTTCAGGAGCCTTCTCTTCTCCAGGCTGCCCCAGCCCAGCTCTGAGGTGACACAGCTGTGCTTCAGAGACCCCAAATTAGCTTCTGTCACTTGATGAACCACAGCTGCTGCCCAGTTTACCCTGCACATATCCATGATGAATAAATGGCTCAATGAGGTTTGGGAGGCTCCAGCTCACAGGAGAGCTTCCCTACTCCAGGGAAAGGCTTTGCTGGTCCAGGAGCCTTTTCTTGTCAAGTTCATATAAACTCTCCCCTAATTAAAGACACACTGTGTGTTCTCAGCCTTGTGTTCACTAAAAGTGAGGCTGTGCTGCAGAGACCTCCATTGCATCACGAGGTCACATCTTCACAAGAGCCAGCAGGTGAAACCTGGGTCTGAGCTTGCTGAAATTCCTAAAGGTGGGCATATTTCCCCCAGATCCTGACTTTGCAACCCAGGACCACCACAGCTTTGGCCTCTCAGCTGCAGATCCCTCAGACCTCCTCAAGAGTTACTTGTAGGACTAAGGCTTCTCTGGAGCCTTTGTATCAGAGTGATGCTCCTGCTCGGCCACGGGGACAGATAAATGGAAATAAAAAGGTTTTCCTGGTTGCTTCATAGTTGCATTACTTTTATTTCCTGCACACGGTCACTCGTACCAGCTCTCATTGGGAATACCTGCGTCAAAATAACCACTCACCCCTTTGACACCGAGGTGAGACCCAAAGCTGTTACTTCAGGATGCTCAGTATGAGTTCAGGTGAGCCACGAGAGCTGCTCTGTCGGGCTGACACCTATTTCAAACGTGTTGCTGACTGCCAGAGCACAGGAGTGCCCAGAGCTGCGCGGCTCTGACCAAGAAAACGCTTCCCTATGCTACCAATCTGGCCCTTTTCAAAGCAGGCAAAGCACCTGGCTCGCCGCAGCCGGCACTGGTGACACGCCAGGTTTGGGTCTGCAAGGTTAAACCTCAGGGGCTTGCTGAGATAATACCAAACTTTCCCATCTGAAATGACAACCTGCATTAAGGCACCAGAAAACCTCATTCCCAAACTCCCATTTCCAGGTTTCAGCCGAAAGGGCTCAGCCTCCACCCTCCAGCCCCAGAACCACGCTGTTTATGCCTCCCGGGCTGTCCTGTCCCTGGCAGTTGTTGGCTCTTCCCTATGGACCATGGTGCAATGGATGTGAGGGGCCGGGGTCTCACCAGTAACCTCCTGACCGGCATCCTGGCAACAGCTCCCCAGCCCTGGGAGCTGAGGAGGAGGAGGAGCAGTGCTGGGTTTGTGCTCTCCCGTCAGCACTTGATGACTCTTTTAGAGTGTTTTAATTTCACTTGAAAGTAATCTGATAGGAGCTGTAAAAGTGCCAAAGAAATCTTTCTCCTTCTGCCTTATAAAGACACTTTGAAATGATGCGGTTTCCCCCAGTCGCTGCCAAATTAAAGCATCCCCCGATTCAAAGGCCTGGGTTGATGTGCACTCATCTCAGCAGCTTTACAGCTGCCTGCTTTCCTCTGGAGGCATCACATCATGCATGAAGGTGCAGAACTGGCCTCACTCTGGCTGCAGGGCACTCACCTGCAGGAGAACAGGGGGATGAGAGAGAAGAAAGTGAAGAGGAAATGATCTTTGTAGGGGGAAAAAGGGGCTGAGGGCTGGGTGCCTCCAGAGCCCGCCTGCCTCGCTCTGTGCCACCCCGTGTGCCCACGCTCCAGGATGTGGCCCGGCTGCAGGTCCATGGTGGTTTGCAGGCACCTTCCTTCCTGTGAGTGCCCAGAGGGTTCTGTGGTGCTGGGAAGGGGCTGGTCAGTGCTCCGAGGCATGGCTGCACATAGGACACTGGAGGAACACGCCTGCACTGATGCATTTCAGCTACTGGGATACATTTCTGCTGTTGGGCTCTGCCCCAAGATCCCTGCTGCAGTTTGCCTGCCCTGCTTGTCTCTTGGCTGGTCTGTGCTTTTGCTTCCCAGGTGCTACAGATGATCCATGGATATCAGCTTTGGCCTCCCCCTCTCCGCTGTAACCAGCCCTTGGCATCTATCAGAGCTCACTGCCATGGGGCGCAGGGGTTTTCCTGAGTGATGGATCCTCCCGCAGCACGTACCTGCTGCAGACTGACTGCCACAGCCCCGGATCCAATCCTATAGGATGGACAGGTTGCTCCTTGGGCTTGGCAAGAAGGGAAGCTCTTTATATGAGGCAGAACTTGTCGATGTCCTCTCGCAGGGTGTCTTGGGACAAAGCCTCCCCCCCTCACACTGCTGCTGGGTGACGATGATGTTTCAGTGATGAGCTGTTACAGATTGAGGGCCCTCTGATTTCCCCCTAACTGGGTTTCACTTAACTGAGACACACAAATGCTGCTTGAGAAGGTCTGGGTTAGGATAAACCAAATCACGACTTCAAAAGCATCGAAGAGAAATGCCTGATGGAAACCCAGAGGAGAGAGTGGCTGCAAGCCCCAACGCCTGCAGCAGGCACATGGCTGAGACACGGAGAGAGCCTGAACGTTTCCCTGCCACCAGTTTGCTGCCAAACACAGGAGGGGCTGGTGAGTGGTGGTTTCTTGGGAAAAGGATTTGCCTGGGATGCACCGGATTTCCCTCTCTGCACTCGTGACTTCGGGCAGTGACCATGCACTCAGCTTGCCCACATGTCAGGGCAGGACCAAACACAGCCTGTGCTCCCAAATTAGATTCCTGGTATCTGTGTAAAAGACATACCAAAGAATTTCCATAATGCCCATACAAGTCTTCCTGTTCATGACTCAAGTCCCGAATGAAGAGCACTAATAATACATCAGTAATCAAAGAGCAAATAACAGCAGCCAACGTATCTCAGCAGAGCAGTTGTGAGGCTCCATTTCCGACTGTCAGTGTCGGTGCATGAAAACAGGAATTAACATGTTTAAATCTTCATAAATTTAAAGGGAATAGAAGGCTTTTATTAAACGTTACAGCTCCCTGAAGCCTGCTATTACACGTTCTGAGGCACAGATAGACAGCACACTGGCTGATGGA